ATATATTTAAGTTGGCTTCACTAACTAATTTAACTAGAAATATTTTCACTAAAGATAAAATGCTAAACATGTAAAAATTTGTGGAAGCTAATGCTAAAGCTGTTGATGTTAGCGGTTAACAGACAAAGCTGGCAAAACCTAATTTAGCAGAAGCTAAGTGGTTCGCTAACAGTTTTCAAAGTTAGTGAAAAAGATAATTTGTTAAGTTTGCTAATAGTGGAACATATTTTTTGTTTAAGAGTTGGAAAAACATAATTTAGAGGAAGCTAATTTATTCGCTAACAGTTTTCAAAGTTAGTGATAAAGCTAATTCACTCAACAAAAAAGTATGTTCCATTATTAGCAGATTAAAGTTGGAAAAACCTAAGTTAGCAGAAGCTAATTGGTCCGCTAACGATTTTCAAAGTTGGTGAAAAATATATATTGTTAAACAAAACAAATTATTCCATTATTAGCAAACTTAAGAGTTGGAAAAACATAATTTAGCGGAAGCTTATTTGTTCGCTAACAGTTTTCAAAGTAAGAGAAAAGGCTAATCCAGTAAATGAAAAATTAGTTTTGCTTTTAGCCGTTAGCGGAACCATGCCCAACCACCGGTCTCCAGACTGAAGCCTTACCTCAGCTGCCTCATCAACGGGGGCATCTTTAGCAGGTTCTTTTTCCAGATCCCAAATCATTTTAGGAGATTCTGTGCCCTGAAAGGTCAACAACAAAACATTTAAACCAAGCTGTGGAGGTGTTTAAAACATCTGAACACCTGGTTGTTTGTAAAGCATACATCTCCTGCCTGAAGGCCGATTTCATCTCCGTACGTAAACACGGGGGTTCCAGGCAACGTGAACAACAGCAGCTGGTAGAGCCGGATCAGGTCCGGAGACGTTGCCACTTTGGACAGCTGCTCCAGTTTGCTGGCACCGAGACCCCAGCCCACGCTTCTCTGCTGAGAGTGAAGGGCGTCCACGTCTCTGATGCGCTGCACACCTGCGTCAGCCGGGAACAATCACACTCATGAGACGAGCAAACAAAGACAGGTGTTTATAACGGGACAGCTGCAGCCTACCGTCATTGGTTGAGCTGAGAAGGTCGGGCAGGACCAGGTCCACTCCAGTGGTGTTGACCAGTTTAGACACGTTTGGAGCTGGATCACCTGTGACTACACCCATCAGAGCCCTGAAACAAGGAGGGACCAGTCAGATCACAGACACTTAAACATCCCTACTTTTAAACTCCTGGTTTTCACATTTAAAGCCTTCAGCTGGGTTAAAAAAAAACAGCTAAAAAAGTCAATTTTGCACTTTAAAGTGAGGAAACGACAAGCTGAGACCAAACTTCACCAGCAGGTGTCTCTTTACTGTGACGATAGAAAACCCATCAGGGAGCTKGTGTTTTTCTGGCTGACCTGGCTCTACGTGACCCCGGACTCTGGAATGTTTCTGATCTCGAAATCCGCTCCGAAAACATCAGCTGATATTTTTGCAGAGTCGCCAACTTTCACGAAACGACGAGGAACTTTCTTCAGATTTTCTGCTTTCACAGCACCAGAGAGCAGGGTTCACGCAGGTTTCACTAAGTTAAATTTAAGACCTTTTCAGACCAATGGGAGTGACATTTAAGACCAAAACAACGCATTAATAAAAACATTTAAATGGTCCCAGAAAATTTAACATAACCTTTTATTGCTATCAATTTTAATTATTAAAGAATATTTAATTGTAATACAAGAACATTAAATTGTTTTAATGAATCATTTCTAACAGACCTTCATATAGACGGCTGTGGACCGCTTCCAAGTGAGTGTAAAAATCACTGATATCAGCCCAGTCTCATTGAAAACACACTTCCCTGAGTTCAAACAAGTAGTGGACATGACTGAAAWTTTTTTTTTGGGCAGGTGAACAAGCTGCCGTATGTGGGGGGTTGTAGTGGCAAAGAGGTCGAAAACATGGAAGCAAACTGTTCTGTTTTTTGCCTGCAGTTATCACAGGATTTGTAGTTAAAACACGTACAAATACCGGTAGCAAACTTAGCACTTCATGAAGACAGATCATGTCAAACTCTGATTACAGCACTTTAATCTGTTTATTTATGCAGCCAACGCTCCTCAGGAATGATTCAAAGT